CTTGTCTTAAGATCAAAATTTCACCAGATCCTCTCCCCTAGTATCTTCAGCACATGCTCACTGTTCTCCCTATCTTTGTCCTTCCCGTGTTCATTAATTCATATTGCCCTGCGCCTAGTCCCATTTTCACTTCCTTTGACGCTCCTAGTAGTTTTGTTAAGTCTTACCCTGTAATTTTTGCTTTTAATTTTGATACCTCTTTATGACTTAACAATAAAAAGGATGTATGGTTTTTATCAACTGTCTCCAAAATAATCTCTTGTTATGCAGGGAGTACAGTTCTTTCCATTTATACATGATTTCAGTAGTTGCTTCCCTAAATGCAAAGGCAATCTCATTTAGTTGTAGCACCTGAGAGCAGCTTTGAGTTTTAGAGGTATGTGTGTTATCCCCCACATAATAGTCCTGTGTGGGCTGTTCAACACAAATGTAACAATGTATTTTTGTGAATGAGAGTTGGCATGTTAAATGCATCCTCTAGAAGAATAATTAGTGTAATAGTCTTTATTTGTTTTCTAAAGTTGATACTGTGGGTTATTTTTGTGAACAGCCTGATGTTTGGGACCTTTTTTCTCAAAATAAACAAGTCCTTATTAAACCAGGAATTTGGAGAAAAAAAACCCTGGTTTTTTATTTTTGTATTTTATAATTATTTACTTCAAATTCTTTGTTTTGCAGCAATTTCCACAAAACCCTTAGAATATATTAAATATATTTTTCTTGGAGTATGATCATTATGCATATCAGCATACACTACTCAAATTTCACCAAGATGGATGTTGCATTAAGGAGTTAATTATCTGTGACATGGAATGGAGATTCTTTTAATAACTGTTTATAGCTCCAGGTACCGTACCTGGGTTCTGAGTCTGTGCCTCAGTGTTATTAAAAATAGGAAAGCTTTCTTTCCTTGTCTTCTGTAGTTTGTGCCTTCCCATATAACTTAGAACATAGTAAAGGTTATACATTTATTTTACTGTATGTGACTTGTTCTGTGTGAATTGATTCTTTTCCCTTAACCCCCAATTTGATTACTTAGTCTCCTTTGGCAAGTAGTCAATGGGAGGGTATTGTACCAGTCAGCAACAGCTGTAAGAATTGATGCTTTCTCAGTGCTGAAAGGTCTAATTTCTTTATACTTTATCTTTTGGGTTTTTCCAATATAGGGGAAATAAAACCTGTGTTTGTTTGTTGTGTCCTCCCCCTTGCCCCCCAAATACACACATGGACCTTGGATTCCTCCAAGTTGGCTTTGTTTCATAGCATGCAGCACAGGCTTTTTTTCTATCTTTCATCATGTGACAATTTACAATATAAGGAAGAGAACTGTGGACTACCCTTGGAGTCCACATGCATAGTATAAAAGTAGCTTCTCATATTTTAGTCAAATATTTGTACCCACTCATTACTAGAAAGTCAAGTAGATGCTAAGAAGAAATTGTTAGAAGCCTATGATGCTGACTAAACCTGCTTGACATTATGGTTTAATGTATACTGGACAGATCCAGAATTCAGTGTGTCCACTTTTCATTGTAGGACCTCTTTCACAGAACTGAGTTTATCTATTGTGTTCTTTCACATACGTGGTTAAATTTTGTTTACACTGGAAAGCATGTATTAAGATAATAATAACTAGGAGCATGGTCACACTCTTCAAGTCTGTACACAGATAAATGTATAGTTTGTCTTGAATAGGAATCATCACACTAGGTCTCTGAATTAAATTCTACGTTTTACCTGTATTTAAGAGAACAAATACAGTGCTAGGTATGTTTAATTAATACTTCAATATTCAGGCTGATATCTAAACAATAGAAAAATGTACATGACTTAAATATAGCATATGGTAAAACATCTTTTGAAATTTTGAAGGTTTTTTTTTTTTTTAATTAATGGGTAATTGTCTTTAATGTATGAATCTGATTCAGGTAGGTTTATAGTTCTCATGATGTCACTCTATCCTGGACCCTAGAAGACGTGAGTGGAGTCTGCTGCACGCTTAGTTAAAAAACGGACATTCACCACATTCAGTTAGTTAATAATTGTTCAAAGGGAATTTTCTGTGAATTTTGGATAACTACACAATCTTGTTTAGAGACACTACACTATATTTAGTGTGGGAATAAGATTTAAAGCAAAGTAATAACAGGAGGATGCACATTTGTTTGGATTCCATGTATAAAACTCAGAACAACAAAAAACTTCTTTAGAATCTTATGAAAATATCTTATAGGAATGCAGTTTCTAGACACAGAATGCTGGATAGAATGGGAATGATTATAAGAAATCTTTTAAAACATTTCTGATTACTACCGAGTTTCTAATAGGGAAGGTATGTGTAGTCCAGTGTCCTAGGGTATTTTCTAGTATGTGGCTGTTACCAGTGGAATAAGCTAACTGAACTGTTACGTTGGAGTGGATAATGAATTAACCACACTTGAGTGGATAATGAATTTACCACACTTAAGTAGTTGTCAACCATTAGATTTCTGTCACTTGTTGCCACAACACAAGATTGGTAGAAAAGAAACAATACAAATAGAAACATATCATTGGTAATTTGGTAGGGAATTAATTGGAATCAAAGGAAGACGCAGAAGAATGCAATGAAGGAGTAGAAGAAATGTCATCATTACAGATATTTTAATCTCAAGTCTATCCTACCCCATCAGAGATCAATAGAAAGGTATACTTTGATCTCAGGAATATGTGACTGTGATACCTCTGATTGCACTAACTTTATATGCAGGAGAGAACCAGAGATGCATCATTAGTAATTTTGAAAAACTGGACTTGGCCACACACACTAAATTTGTCACAAAACTCTTTCTTTCATATGAGGAAATTTTAGTGGTACCTTTTAAAGTGGGGTTTGAATTCATGGCTATTGATAAGGTTGGTTAAGAAAACTCCTTTTTATGTTGTCAAGGCATCCAAGAATCTACTCTGAAGTACTTTGGGCATAATAAGCAGATATTACATAGAAATGTGTTAACCAGTAAATGCAGTTTGTGAACTGCTAAAGTTAAAGCACATCACTTGCTTTAACAGTGCTATCCCTTGAAAAGAACAGGGATCAGATAACACCAGGTCATAGATATGCAGTGTTTGCAAGGACCCTGGAACAAAATTGTTTTCAAGTTTTTTTTATAGGGATGGGAAATAAAACGAGGTATTAGAAAGTTTCATGTTGGAAATTTCATGAGTTGAGTAGATCATGAGTTGGGCATATAGACTTTTTTTCCCTCTCAAATGGCACACAGGAATAAAGGGTTAAGAAATTATGAAATACTTAGGGTCTGTCCTTCCTAATTACTCCTACAGTCCATTACCAAAATCTATAAAAGTTAGGATAATTACTGTGAGGTGAGCTTTTAATATCCAAATATCCGTGCGTGTACTCAAGACTAATTACATCTCTGTGACCTAGCAGTATATTTTTGAATTGCTATCATTCCAACTCCCTCCCATGGTGTAGGTAACCACATTACCAAGAGACAAAAAGCTTCCCATGGGTAAAGAGGGATGGCAGAGGTAAGTAGTGGTGGTGCTTGAGGAAAGAATATAGGACTTTAAAAGCATTACAATTTTTACTATGGTTCCTATGTGACTGGCTAGTAAGGAATTTGCATGCTGACAGGGTAAGAATACCTGGTCTGAACTACCGAAGTATGGAAAGCAGCAAGGAGAATACCACATTATATGAGAAAGTTCTCATTCTGAGGTTGTAGATGGCTCATTAAAGTAAGCCAACTGATTTGCCTACCACAGCTAAGAATAGGAGACTTCTTTGTGACATGGAGATGTTTTATAATGTAGTGACGAATATGGTGGCAGCTAGTGATTGAACCATTTAAAAATGGTTATAACTGAGGTGGATTTTTAAATCACTACTACCTGTGGATTATAGCACCACATAATGGTGGGAAGATTCTAGACAAAGCGCTGATACTGGTTACTAAAACTTGGATGAATATTTTGTGTAGGATTCAAGATATTTGATGTGCTGAGTTCATTGTTTTTGTAAGCTCCAACCAAACCCTAATTTTGAAGATTTCTCATGAAGGCACCTGCAACTGCATAGTATTGCAGGATTAACCCACATTGTTCATATCTTTATTTAGCATTGCCTTTTGCAGGATAAGTATTTTTTTTAAATAGGGACAGATCTTGTCAATTAGTTGTCCAGGCTTCAGACAGATATTAACACATTTAGTATAGAATAGGTAGTAAGCGCCATATTTTAGAGGTTAGGTACTTATTTCAAAGCCCCAAACATAGTTTAATCTGTCGTCTGGTGTATCCACTGATTTGGGACATTAAAACAGGAAATTGTCTTGAACTCTTTCTTAAAAATTGAGTTAACTATTCCCAAACTGCAGGTGATGGAAGAGCATCTCTTCACCTTCATTTAAGACTGGGTTGCACCTAGTCATGTTTATATTGCTTTTGCCATATTTGTGATGCCTGCCTTGCATGTCACTGAAAAATGTTCTAAAAGATAGGTTCTACCCTGAGTGATTTATTAATGGGAAGGATATTTCAGTAACATTTCTGTGCAGAACCAGACAAGCTACAGTAATGAACTTCTGTAGAGTTTTTGTCCCTTGAAAATGTCAAGCTCAAGAACCCATCTATTAATAACTTAAACCCAACTCATTTCCATTTATTCCTTGGTTAACACCTTTATTCCCTTATAAGCTTAGTGGGCCATGAAGTTTTCGTGTCACTTTTCTCTAAAGATAACTTGCTCAATATTCTTTTCCTCTTGACTCCAATGGAGAAAGACTTGCCAGCCAGGTAGTCTGCTAAATAGCCAGCCAAACATGCCCTTTTCCCAAAACTTTAGCTTCACTGTACAAAGCTGGTGGAGACTACCAGAAAGTTACCTTCCTGATTACTAGAAATGCTTCTACTTTAGCATTATCAGGCTGTAGTCCTGTACCGGCCTTAAGCATTTTTGAGAGTATCCTTTCTCTTACATTTGGAACATGAGGAATGGGCCTAGGTAGAATGTGGTATCCCACAAGAAATCTTTTTTTTTTTTTTAATATTTATTTTTTAGTTTTCGGCGGACACAACATCGTTGTTTGTTTGTGGTGCTGAGGATCGAACCCGGGCAGCATGCATGCCAGGCTAGCGTGCTACCGCTTGAGCCATATCCCCAGCCCAAGAAATCCTTTCTTTATCTGCAATCAGCCTCAGTATTTGCTTTCGTGGAATGACCATATTAACCCTTCAATAGCATGTGGATTAGCACATGGCAGCACTCTGCAATGTAGTTTATACTTGCTTGTCTTTAAGCACCCTTCTGAATGTAAAGAATCTTTCCTTCAAATTATTAACTCCATCAGAATCCCTTTCTTTTCCCTGTGTCTAAGGCCAAAGATAAATCTGACACCCAATCTGTCCAGCCTCTACCCATCCCTTTCCCTCTTCCCATCACATTGGATGCTGTGTCCACCTTTGCCAATTTAGTTCCCTCTAAATTCCATTCATCTTGCAGATTTTAATGTATATGGCACTTCCTCCAGGTAGTCTCCCCTGCCTTGACTGGTACCAGTGTTCTCAGGACCAGGAATCTCTTGATGAATATCAAGAGATTGATAAATTTATTAAAGTGAAACTGCAGGGACCACATTACTGTTTAATATATCTTAGTAGTGTCTTAAATGAGTACGTTGAATTAATGAATGGGAAAGGGAAAGGGAAAGGAAAACGGTATGAGAGGGTAAGCCCTGTATGAGGCTATTTTGGAAAAAGCAGAAATGGAAAGACTGACAACTGACCTCAGGGTGCACAAGGATGGATTTCACTGCGCTTGCTTGCATTGTCCAAAGTCTTAATGTCAGCTTCAAGAAGTCCCTCAGGAGTCTACATCTCATACTAAAGGTGAAAAAAAGGAGCATTACCCACATACACAAAGGAAGTGCTGATTGCAGTTAACTTGTTAATACCTCCATTAACCTGTTTTCCCTTAAAAAGCCAGATCTAGTGAACACTTTCCTTATTCTTCATAACCTGTATTTTTTTAACATGAAAATAAACATACTATGAAATAGACACATTTTAAGCATTCTCCTGCCCAGTTATCCAGGATTGAAACCAAGGTTGCTTAACCACTGATCCACATTGCCAGCCCTTTTATTTAAATATACATTTTATATGTAGAGAC